GTCGATGGCCTCTTTGGGGTCGTCGGGGGCCGGGGGTGTGAAGTGTTGCAGCAATTCTATGACCACTCCGTTCACCGATTTGTCAAAGAAACTCATGGCAGCGAACACGAAGGCACCGGTAGTCTGGGATTGGAGTAAAAATTATGTATTTATAAAATATTAAAATAATTTTTGGACAATTACTGCATCCAATAATAAATTTTCAGTTTTTAACTGATAATTACTATATTAAGATTGATTAAAATTACAGTTCACTGTAATTATTGTTTTTATATTTTGTAGAAATTGTGACTAGTAAGATTTTTGTTTTTATGTTTGCATAATATATGTGGCCTATTATTACGGCTACCAAATTAAAAAAGTTAATACCAGGGAGCTTGCAATAATTTACATATTAACTCCCGGGAGATCATTTTTAAGCATTGTAGAAAATTTTAATAAATTCTTTAAATAAAATTATAACGCTTAAATCTAGTTTAGATATTAATATTTTAAGACTTTTATTTAAATATTTAACTATTTTTTCATTACTATTACTATTAATATATTTTATATTGAATAACATTATAACCAATGAATGCATACCTTATTAGTGCCGATGAGATCACTGGTGAGCGCGAGGGTTGAGATGAGTAGTGCTTTAACTATTTTTTCATTACTATTACTATTAATATATTTTATATTGAATAACATTATAACCAATGAATGCATACCTTATTAGTGCCGATGAGATCACTGGTGAGCGCGAGGGTTGAGATGAGTAGTGCTGTGCCGGCGATACCCAGGAGTGCCGACACGACATAGATTTGCCACAACTTATACGACTCGGTGTTCCCCCCGATAAAGATCCAGACACACGAACCCACACCAAAGGCTACGCCTATTATGAGTACCCACTGGAAAAAATAATTAAATTTAAATTAATACTTTTATAAATTGCGTTTATATAGCTACATACCCGGGCGCCATACCGGGCTGAGAAGGGTTTGGCCCCGAAACTGCATACCAGTCCCGCAACATAAGTAGCAAATGGCATAATCGCTATCGTATTCTAAAGGTTTAAATAAAAATAAGGTTAAATTATCAAACGTAGCCAATGTTACCATTATACTAAATTTAAAATACATTATCTAATTTATTGTAACTTTCATAAGTAATTACAGTCTTAAAAATATTTTTTTATTAACTTACTTTAGGCATTTGCAGTGAGTATTGTAAGTACAGTGGCGAGTACACTTGACCTAAGTTAAAAAACATCCTGGCCATCGTATACATGATCGTAATCTTCCAAAAATCGAATTTTAATAACCATTGATAAAACTTTGTATCCGGCTGTCTCATGGACCTTGTTGATTTTCGCGATAATTGTCTCTCGAGATCACGTTTCACGGGTCCCATCATTAAACCAGGTCTACCCTTACCGGTCACGTGATAAACATCGGTTGACTCGTCAACACTCCCGGTGTCATCTGAATCCTCGGGTGAGTCCGGGGTATATATGGGGGCTATGATGGAGGCCCGGGGCTGGAAAAGGGCCCGTTGGGTGTCCACCGAAAAGGCTGAGGCAGTGCTGAAACCACGTGGTTTTCGCTCCTCTTTGGGAACTACCGGTTCGGCGACAAACACGTGGAACAGTAGGGAGAATACCAGTCCGATCACGCATACGATGTATGAGACCATCTTGGTGTAATTATAAATAAATAGTTAATTATCAATAGTTGATTAAAATATTTACAGTATAATATTATAATATCAGTATAAATATCATTTAAAACACTAGAATTGGGTTTGACTTTAAAACCCCGAAACCCCGGAAGAGGGAGGGAGAGAGAGAACTATTTATATATTTAATTATTTTAAAATATTAAACTTTTATAAATTTTTTATAAACATTTTTAAATATACAATAACTAAATTAATTAATAATTAAATAATTATAATTTTAATCACATATGCTCTCTCTCTCTCTCTCTCTCTCTCTCTCTCTATTTCATAGGTATTGTGTAGGTCTAAAAGGGATTTTGATTAATAGAATTTTCAATATTTATTTGATTTTATTTAAGTTACTAGTTAAATATAAACCCGATATTTTTTTGTAACGGTAGTGTATATTTTAGTTAAATTTTTAAATTGAAAACTATAATAATAAACTATTGTATGAATATTATAAATTTCTAATATTTACCGTGAAAACATCTAAATCATCCTGGCTAATTGTTTCGCTTGAATCAAACCCGATGACAAACAGGGTTACTGTATATAAGCATATATTCGCAAATATTGTGGCGGCTTGACTATAGAAATATCATAAAATATTTTATTAATATTAAATTATAGCAATTAAATTTACAATGTTTTTACAAACCGATAAGCATTTAACGCAATCCTTTCATTTGTATCGTCCGTTAAGTCAACGATTAAACTCACGTGACTAACCTATTCATATGAGCAAGGGAAAAGATTACTGACTGATATACCTCCCAATTTATCATTAAATGACATATTAATTTATATAATTAGTAACTTTGATTTATATTTACAGTTACTTAAAAATTTAATTTTGCATACCTGGGTAGCAGCCCAACCGGCTTGAAATATAATGATAAGTACAGCGTAATAGGCAAAGCGGCCTATAGTTGATGACCCGGAACAGTCACCCGGAAAACAGGGGGTATTATAGATGAAGGGAACGGTAACCGTATTCATGATTACTCCCAATAAGTGCCAAAACTTTCTTCGCCCGTATCTGAAGATCCAAATGTCGGGCATTCGGTCCGATTGGAAGCCCACGAATGGCGAGGCTATAGCGTCGGCCATTTGGCTGTAAAGATAATCAGGGTTATTTAATCAGGATTATATTTTTTAATTTAATTAATTACACTTTTGTAAGTTTTTAGACCATACTTTTGATTATGTTTAATTTACGATAATTATTATATTACTAATTATTTTGTATTTTACTAACATGTATCTTAATTAATTTTAAATTCTATAACTTATTGAGATTAATTTTATTTAATGTTTATTTAATAATTTGTAAATAATTTTTATTTGTCACATTGCGTATAATAATGCTGATTAAATAAAAAAAATTTATACCTAGAATACTTTTTAAATCTATTTTTAAAAACTGTAAACCTAAAATTATATTTCAATAAAATTAAATAAATTAATTGTTTTCGTTTTAATTGGAGTAAAACATTAAATTCATTATTTAGTTGTATGACTTTTTCAAAAATATGAACAAAATACAAATATACATAATTATAATTAACATACTATACACCCACAAACTGTAAATTTATTTTATCATTACTAAAATATTTACTAAATTAATATATTTATATTTAATTGGACTCCGTTGCTTTAGTTATTTTTAATATCCCGTGTAAAAATTAACTAAACCACTAATAATTTAATATTTTAATAAATTTATAAACAAAAACCTACCCGATCAACAACAAGGCACCGGCCATTGAATCGCTGAATTGAAACTTAAAATACAGCAAGGTATACGAAAACCAGATACTGACAGTCAGATCATTATAGATATGTCCCATACTATAGAAAAACTTGGTCTTAAAGGTGAGGGGTTTACCGCCCTTTGACTTCGTACTAAACGTCGACTTTCCCGACACCGTACGTCCCAATTGGGACTTTTGCAGCACTTTTTGAACGCCCCCTTCCGTACTGTTGACCTTATGGGCCAATACTTTTTGAAATGACCCCTCCAAGCTATTAACCTTTTGGACAAAGGCTTTGAGTACCGGCTCATTTTTAGCCGGCTTATTCTCGATGATTTTCTCTTTGTCATCCATGTTAATTTATTATTTATATAGATAACTTATTTAGGTAGATGATTTATTTTATTAAATTTAAATCGAGCAAATAATCTGACCTAATGGTACAATAGTATAATTAAATAAAATATTATACTATGTATTAAATGTGAAAATCATATGACATTACAATATAATAATAATAAGTTTTATATTATTATAGTTAACATAAACTTTTTCAAGACTAATTGTCAGACAGAAAAAAAACTTTTTGGACTCAGGGTTAAAAATTGTATCGCTATTTATACTCGCTTACTATGTCTAGGGGAAAGGTATGTGATGCAAACCTAAATTACCCTGTTTATTTGTTTGATCTGAGAGCGCCATACGACCTTTAAAATTCCTGTATGAACCGGATAAATATCAAATACAATTGTTTTGTGTCTTATTTGTTATATTTATAGGTATTATTAGCACTAAATGAGATATACTTTGCTCTCTCTCTCTCTCTCTCTCTCTCTATTTCTTAACAAATTAATTGTAATCTTATTTTCAAAGAATAATAAATTTAATGATGAGTTTCAGTGTAAGAATGTATTAAATTGTTTGCAATTGTTTAGTAGTAAACAGTATTATTCATTGTCTAAACACTACGGGCTATCAGTTGAATAAACCCCCGACTTATGGAAAAGTACGTACACTATGTTGTCTTATCGTATGACACCTGTGTCTATAAGCCCTACCCTATCATAATACTTGGCTGCCGACCCCTTATATACCTGTGCCTAACTAGCGTGACCAGGGTCAAGTATTCCGCCTTGACTTTCAAGTATTTGAGGGTCCGGTCAAGGATCAAGGGAAGAGTAAATACTTGACATTATAAGGTCAAGTATTTGCAAAATTGATATAATATGATAAAATTTTAAACATTGTACCATTATCAATTGTAAAATGTTCGTTAAATATTTGAAAATAAAAAAAATGCATATAATAGAAATAAGTGATAAATACTTAAATTTTAACACAAAACTCAAAATTTCATAAACTTTTGGTACTTTTTAAAATAGTTGTTTGCCATAAATGTTTAACTATGCTACTTGTAATGAAGTTCTAATCAAAAAATTACATTTACTTTCGAAATCCCTATAATTATTATATTAATATTATTTAAGATTTAATATTGTTTTATATCAAAACTGTATTATTGAGTTTACTTATTTTATACAATTATCGTTGATTTTCTATTAAATGTTGAATGAATTGTGAAACTACGATTTAATCTATAGCAAAGACTTATTTCTTAATAAACAATTAAATTTTTAATATAACAATATTACTTAATTAAAATAATTATCGTTTATAAAAGTAAAATTTAAGAATAATTTTCAGATGGAGATGAATTTTACCAAAACTCTAAAATAAATGTAATTAAAACTTAAATAAAAATTAAGGTCAAGTATTATCAAGTATTTTAGTGTTAGGTTTCATGTGTTCCAAGTTTTCGACCTGGTCACACTATGCCTAACACTAAAAATACGTATGCAATTATAAGTTTCGCAAATGTACACAGGTAATTAATTATGTCATTAGATATAATACAGGTGTGCTTTGATGAGTTTATGCGGCATTTATTTTATCTCATTATCATTAGATAGCTATAATAGACTAGTAGTTAACCCGGATCGGTTTTAGGTATAAATATAAGGGTTTTATTTACTATTATTATTTATGTTTATCTAATTAAACTTGATGTTTGGTATTTGATATGGAAATTCAAGTGTTATTATAATTATTTATCAATTATTAATTAATTAAGTATTAATGACATCCGTATATTATAAATTATTAATATCTGTATGATATTATTATTAAATAATTTAAAATGTTATAAGTCACTAATCTGACACCGTTTAATTAATATATAGATTTATAAATATATTTATTAATTTTTCAATACTGTAACCAAGGTATAATAATATATATAGATTTACTGTAAGGAATTAATATATTAATTTTTGGCGATTATTACATACAATTAATTAATTTTCTGTTGTTGAAATAAATATTAATGAAATATTTTAAAATTTATTTTTATTATTGGGAATAAATTAAAATATTTGAACACATTTATTTAAAATATTTATTAACTTATCAGTACAAACAATATAAACACACATACAATGTAATTAATTCTATTTTTGTGTAAATCCTATTTAATATCCTAATTGATGTCACTATTCTGGTTAATAACCAAGTTAATTTACCAATGTTTTTAAAAAAATAACGATAAATCAATTTAAAAATATAAAATATGACTAACCATGACAACTATTCTTAAGCTAGTAAAAATATTATATATAATTGTTTGTTATTTGGAATAAAATATTCTTAATAATTCAAATATTTATAATCCCCTTGGCTATTTTATATTTTTATCGTTTTTACCAAATTAATTACAAAATCTTAGATATACTAGTGTAATCATTTAATTGTGATAAGATTAATAAATGTTATGATTAATTTGAAATACTGATTAATGTAGTTTGAGCAATGTGAGTTGATTGGGCAATATAGTAGGCCTGTGCGGTGATGAGCTGGCATAATACAATTGTACGTAAACAATTATGTCTAAATCATATAATAAATAATAAAATTCAAGTTTATACCTGTTGATAATTGCTATTGTTTATGGGCAATAATGTTATTAGCTCGAAATATTGTTACCATTAGTGTAATAAAATTGTTTTATAATAACATTATTAAGTGATTATTACTATTGTTTATTTTAAATGCTTTTCGCACGGTTTTTATTTGATGATTTTTATTAAATGTTATTTTTAGCTTTAAAATTTCAAAATATTATTATGGTTTAATAATGTCCGGTTTTAGTGTAATGTAATTTTAATGTAATGTAAAATGTGATGGAAATTTCGAGACCAATAATTAAATTAATAAAATATAATTTCAATATATGTAAAAAATAAATTTTAATTTACAGTTATATATTCAATAAATAATTATAGATAATATTATGCTATGAGCAAAATTTAATATTGTATTTAATAACTTAAATATTAAATTATAAATTGTGTACCAAATCATTAGTACACAACTTTCCTAATATCAAAATTATAATTTAATGCTGGTAATTTTATTTATATACTTTTTTGTAAGATTAAAAAAGTTCGCTAGATGATTAAACTTTAAAAAATAAACTTTTGGCATAATAGACACTTTGGTACAAATTTTATTTTAAAAAATTATATTTGTTATAAATATATTAAATATGTAACTTTATAACACTTAAAATAAGTGCATCATAATAAATTTGACAATTAAAATTTGGCACATTGTTTAATATTATATTATATCACAATTTATGACTTATGTATGTTATCTAATCTTTATAAAAATAATTTTAGGTCCTACTCCCAAATTTGGACATGGGTTTAAATTAGATCATATAATAAAATATTTATATAAAAATAAGGTTTAGTAAAAACTATATTGATTATAAATTTATAAACATGACATTTTGAAATAAGATTTAAAATTAAATTTATAAACTAAAACTTATATAATAACATTAATACAATATTATAAATAAGTAAGTATATTTAACATTTATAAATTACATTATTATTATTATGTTATTTATATAACATATTAGTAAGTTCTGGACTTATAAGTTATTTAAATATTTTAAAATGATATAATAAGCCTGTTCAAACTAGTTTTAGATGGGAAACGCAATTATCCCTGGCAAACATTTCGCAACCTAGCATATATTTTAGATAGTACTTATAATAAATTATAGTTTCATTACATAATATTATTATTTTCTTATTAATGCTCAATAAGCATAATAACAAACTTACTAAACAATAGATTAAAACTTATCAAAACCAGTTTCAGTTGGACTTGTTATTATTTAAAATGCGACCTGGAAGTAATAAAAAAAACACTATCATTATTTAAAAATATTGATAAGCCATTATTATAAATAGTTGATGTAAACACGTTCAAATACATAACAGTAATACTATTTAATAATAATTATTATTATATGAATGCTAATTTTAAAAAGTCACTATAAATATAAAGTAACAAGTAAAGTAAGCTATTTATTATTATATAATTTTAAAAACTAAAAATATTATTTTGTTACATATTATAATTATATAAATATATCATATGACTTATATTAAATATAAATTATCTATACAGAATCAAATTGCCAAAATGTCTATGGTGGACCACTTTGCGATCATAAACATACGTATAGGACGGTACCTAATTAAAATGGACCATGATCAGATCAGGCACTTTGAAAAGGAGTTTGAAAATCACCTCAAGATATGTCATAAAGACTTAATGATCGCAATCGCAACGGACGGCATAATTACGGGTGAAAACGACGTGAGACTTAAGAAAATTATTATTGATTTTATAACCACTTTTGGAAATGAACAGTAAAGGGGCCATTCATTCAGAGCGTACACATCATAATATATTTTTACTAAAATAATTTTTGTTTGCTTATTATTAATGTATAAAGTTAGCTCAAATAAAAATATTCATTTAATAATAAAACTGTAATTATATTTTTAAAAACAATTTTAAATTAGTAAATATACACAATTAAATAGTTTATTGGAATATAAGCAATCATATCATGAAATTAAGTTTAATCAAATCCAGTCTCAAATCAAATCACAAATATTTTCTATGCTTTTTTGATTAAAGTATAAAATCTTTTATTATTTTTATAACTAGCTAATTCATTAATGATTGTAAATCATAGTACAATATTTGCTATTTACAAAAACGGTAAATATTTTATACTTTAGTCGAAAGCAGTGATAATTTTTACAAATAACAATATTTGTGTCTGACCACCCAGGTCACCACTAATAATTAGGCGTATTATAGGATTAAGCATTGGTGGGGGACTGACTGATAGCACTCTGTGCCGCGGCCTTATTGCCCGCACAACACGTCAGACACGCGAACCTCTCCACTAATTTGGCTATAATATC